AATGGTGCCTAATTGCTTCATCGCTTTTCTCAGTATAAATCGAAACTTCAGTGCCATCAAATATGAACTTTCAGAAAATCAAGTTTCTCCATAGATAGGCATGTGAAGCACATGAAGGAATGATGGAGCAATAGTTACTTCCCCATCATATTCTTTGTATTATGTGAAGATTTTTTTCAGTTTAAATCACTAAGCATTCTGCCCTAATGTGCTCTATTCCTCCAAATGATCATTTCCAAAAGAGATGGAAAACTGGAAACATTCACAGTCATGGTCCTTCTACTTTGTTGTCCTTTCCTGACTACTTTAATGAATAATGATACAATAAATGCTTTTACAGATATTGTTTAACTGTTCCAAATAGTACAGATATAAACCAAGATTAAGGAATCAGAAATTATAAAAATTTACTTCTCTTCATTCCTTTTTCTCTTAGATTTTCTGTGTGGGCACAGGAGATTTCAAAACCACCACTGCTGTTTATACCCAAATCTTTAAAAAATAACCTAGAGTCAAAATCTCAACATACAGATCTAAAAATTAGTTTCCTTTATAACCAAGTGATAATTTCACTCTGGGTCATTACTTTTGACATAAGAGATGGAAGCACTTTTCCTCTGCTAAATTTGGTACTTTGAAATCTGGAAGAGGAGTAAGAAAGATTAATAGACAGCTCTCTACTGTGTAACTGTGACTTTCCCAGTTCCCCAACAAGATGACAAGACTAATAAAAGTAAGGAGATGGGACAATAAAAAGTTATATGGGTCTCCTATGATATCGGGAAGTCAGAAATAGTGTGGCACTTTTCAAAATAAACAAAAAAAATTGCTGTAAAGGGAAATAGTTGGGTAATTCCACTACCTGGACTCAAATTTTGGTCACTAGTTAAAACTAGATGTTTTTGAGGAATTAAGCAAGAGCAGGTGCATGACAGGATGGAGGACGAGACATACTGGTAAGGCCAACTTCTGCCTCATTTAGTCTTTAAATTTTCCCTAAATATTTTTTCTGTTTTATTTCTTTTTTGTTTTTCAATGACAAACTCAAAGTAGTCTGGAATAATGACAGGAAAAATAAACAAAATAAAAACCATCAAATGATAGGACCATCAGGTCATGGTGTAAGTCCATCTACTCCAGAACTCCATAAAACATCGGTCCTTTGCCCACTTCAACATACAGTCTCTTGCAGAGTAAGAATTTTTTCCTTACTCTGTTTAAGTCTTTGTGCTCTGCTTACAGTCCTTTTTCTTGTCTTCCATGTCCTAGCTACATTTCACAAAAAGTTCCAAGCTTTGTTCAAGCATGGCTTTCAATGAAAGAAGAGTGACAATGAGATGAGAGTCTTTAATAAAACCAAACTGAAAACTTTTCTTGAAACATCCTTCTGGGACTCTTCTTGTCCTTGGGCAGGATTTTTGCATGTAAGTAGGAGATAATACGGGCTGAAGAGATCTCTTTTTGAAAGTTTTCCTAATTTTCATTAGGCTGGTTCACATGAGTTCTCTGGGTCCCTCAGTGGAGGATTTTAATCACAGTGTGTCTTTTTTGCTACAGTGATCACAATGCTAATCTCTGTAATTCCACATTTGGGAGCCCACTTTTCAAAGTGTAAACAACTGACAGTGACTTCAGAAAGAACATTTTTCCAGAGGGAATGAAAGAGTAGAGTCACAGAGAAGCATCACAAGCCAAAAACTGAAAAAAAAATCCCATGATTGTACAAGGAAAAATAAACCATCCTCAATTTCCTTCCCTTGTGCTGTAGAATGTGCATGAATAAAATACATGTGAACAAATTTTGTGAGGGAGAAATATTTGCCCCTTTGATCAGACCCAACCATCCAGATAAAGCCAGCCTGGAAAAAAAATCCCATGACTTTAAAGAAAAATGTAATTCCTAAGGATCTTCAAGCGTGATAAATGGCAAGAGATGGTGGAGTGGTATTTTAATGCAGTTAAATGGTATTTCCTATTAACATATTTATTCAAGGATGTTATTGACTTCTAATTCCTTGAAAAGATGATCTTTCATAAAATCTCTATTAATGAAAACTTTATACCAGTACACAGCTTGCAGCTGACTTCATGGGATCTATTAATTCTTCAAGTGGCAAAATGCTACAGCACCTGACTAAATTTACGAAGAAAAAGAGAAAGGCAGACCTATAATCATTGTTCACGCAAAGAAAAAATGAAGACACCATGCTAATTCTTGCATTAACTATCCCAAATATGTTCAGATATTTCTCCCACCTCAATAAATTTACACTGCACTATTACTAATGGCATAACTCCTGCACTCTTGATTTCAGGGTGCAATACCATTATTGCTTCAATGTTCTAACATAGAAAACTTCTATAGACCTGGCAAAATTATGAAATGCAGTCAGAAAATGTAGCAAGAAGCTGAATTTGGGACAACACACTTACTATGTTTGCAGTGCTCCCATATTTCTTCAAATACATACCACAGAGTGTTACAGAAGGGCTTTAATCTACAAGGCCAGAAAATGGCAAGATAATTTTTTTGTCCACCAGAAAGTTACAGCATTACAATGAATGTAACTCTCTTAACCTTTTTAAAATTATCCTATCTACTCTTTGTACTTTTATATAAGAGCTACTATATGTTCATTTGCATATTGCTCATCTCTTCCTCTAGTTTGAAACATGACATAAATTAACATTTCATGAACTATCCTATTTATTACAGAACAGTTAAAGGACCTCAGACCAAAGGGAAAGAAGCCTGTTCTTCAGTGACTGTGTCATGGTATGTTCATTAGAAATTTATATATGTGTGACAAAAAATTATGAAATGCAAGATTTTAGGATTATGGTGGTGAAAATCACAGAAAGATTTCTTTGTACATTGTATGGTATGTGTGACAAAAAAATATGAAATGCAAGATTTTAGGATTATGGTGGTGAAAATAGTTCCTGGTACGGTACATCACAGAAAGACTGGTAAGTTTTCTGATTCAAATTTTCTTTTGTGAATACAACTTATCAAGAAAATCCTGTATAAGCACCAGGAAAACATTAGATATTTTGTGTAAAAATTTAGGGTTTAGCTATTCAAGACTTCAAAAATACTCAGGCAGCTCTTAGGACCCCTAGTCATAACAACTTTAAAGATATGATCTCATCCTCACTGAAGTGCCTTTGCATTTAACAAGTATTGGTTCCCAAAGGCCTGTCCCTCCAACAGGTTATGCAAGATTGGGTTCAATTTTCTTTCACTTCCACCATCCAAAATTTCTCAGGATCCTCCAACCTCAGCACCCCACAGGTTTTTGTATCACTCTGGAAGGCATGAGGAGAATGGAGGAGAGAGGATTGTGGAAAATGCTCTTCCTCCCCTACTTTTTTTCCCTCTGCACAGTTGATTAATCAATCAACCTAATCTACCAAGTCTACCCAGCCTTCACAACCAAATACAAAATGGCTGTAGAGTGCACATATCATCTCTATAATATTTTGTTTCTCTCAGTATGTTTGCCACAACTTCTTGAGACCAATCAGGCAGATCAGTGAATGCCTTTGATATAACTGAATTAAAAAACAAACAAACAAAAAAAATCAGTATGTTTGCCACAACTTCTTGAGACCAATCAGGCAGATCAGTGAGATTATGAATGCCTTTGATATAACTGAATTAAAGAACAAACAAACAAAAAAAGTTAATAGAATAACACAAGTCTATATTTAGCACTAGAGGCTAAAGTATATGCTACAGAAACTTCATCCATGCAGGTATTTGTATATTGTGGATGATGACTGTTGTTGGGAAGGGCAGTGAGGGCTGAAGGAAAGAGAAGCCAAAATTTTAACATATATCTTCTGCATGGTTTTAGTACCACATCTTCCAAGATCCTGCTTCTTGCTTTGAGGTGATGGCAAAAGAAACTGCTGTCCAGAGATCAGATATGGACTAATACTTCAATTTAATGGTTTACAATAACAGTAATTTTTTTTCTGTATTAATATTGCACAACTTTTAAGAAGAGTACTAATGTGTGATTCATAAAAGGGATTTTTCTGGCCCACTCAGTACTCAGAGGAGCAGGTTTCCCATTTGGGCTTTAAGTGTTCTCAAAGTTTTGACAAATTACATAAAACAATCAAAATTAATTCCTTATGACTAATCAAAGCAAACTACATTCACTTTAATTCTGTAGGAGAGCCTCAATTCAGGGTTTTACTGCTTTTAACACCCTTAGTTAATTCATCTGAACACTTTGGAGAATTGGTTTATAGAGAACACCTATACATTAATTCCTGTCTCATCATTCATCATTAAGCCATTTTATTACTGTCCCAAGAGTATTCAAACTTCATAGTACCATACCCTTTTCAGGGTCTTTTGTTTCATTTTGGAATATCTGCAGTGCACCTTAAACCACTGAGAGAAGCATCATTGTAGCAGTAGGAGTAGTAGTAGTAGTAGTGGTGGTGGTTGTAGTTAGAAGGAAAATTTAAATGTTGCCTAGAATTACAAGGAGAAGCTGATCCTTGGGATAACTACAAAAAATCACAGTAGAATTACATTACTGTAGAGTTAAGATTCCAGAGATTAAGGAGCAGAAATTATTAAATGTTATACTCCAAAACCAGGAAGAAGTATTTGCATGGATGTCTAATTCAGAAACAGGTAAACATGTATTTTTACTTCATTACAAATGCAAACTTCACTCTGATATGCCGGTTTTCCCATATACTGTTTTCCATAGTATTACCAACCACAATCAGTATCTGTATAATGTTATCTCTTTGTTTTGATTGGAGCTTAAGGAGAATTAAGATTGCTGAAGACCTCATGCTCCTTCCTTGAGGATTTCTGCATTTTTTTCAATTCCATTTTGGCTTGCTGATTTGCTCTCTACCATTAGAACTTCCAAATTAGATGAAACATTCAGAGAGAAATGCAGAACAAACAGAGAGAAATGCAGAACATGCCTGAGAGCAGTCTGCACTGAGAGCAGGCAGCTGCTTACCTGTTTGACCGCGTACAGGAGGCGCCCGTAGCAGTACACCATGACCATCACGGGGACAGCCAAGCAGAAGATGAAGAGACAGATGATGTAGGACGTGGACTCCGCCGACTCTGAGGACCAGCGTACTGAACAGCTTGTGCCTGCGCCTTCGACCCCATAACTGCTCCAACCAAGAAGAGGTGGCACGGTCCAGACCAAGGAATAAATCCAAGAACCACCAACTGCCAGCAGAGCCTTGCGGAAATCATCGCTGCGCTTGTGGCACAGGGTGAGCGTGCTGTAGCGCTCATAGGACAGCACAGCCAGGGAGATCAGGGACACGACACCTGCAATGAACCAAGCAATAGAAATGCTTACTTCCACTATTTTGCATGTATCCATTTCAAATCCCAAGAAAGCAGATTATTTTTTTGGTTATTATATATTTGAAGCAACAGTGAAAACCATTTCCATTATTCTCTATGCGTTAATACTCACTGCTCCTGGTTGCTCTGTCCATCCTGTCAAATTTTGTTTAACTCAGATTTATCTTACATTGGAAGACTTTTATACTTGATAGATATTCATCTTTTAGTCAGGTTTTCAGCTTTATCTGTTTTACTCAGGGGAAATCCATTTTCTATCTGAGCTAATACAATGGTGAAAGATTCCCTTGATAAGAACCAGTTTTAAAATCCATGAGCATTTTCAAATAGCATATTGACTTTTACAAGGAAAAAAAGAAAACAAACAAAAAAAAAAAGAAGAAAAGAAAAGAAAAAAGAACCTTCAGTTCTGACCATTCATACATGGAAAAAATAGACAACCACATCATGACTGGGATATGGCAAGTTGCAACTTTATTTACATATATATTACACAATCAGCTTTAAAAGTGATTTAGATTAATATTAAGCCCTAGGTGCCATAAACCCATTATATCTTGCTGAGGAAGGCTTTAAAATTCTGGTTGTAGGATATTTCCATTCTCTTTTTCAAGTTTTGGGACCCAACCCCCTCTTCAAGACTGTATGGTTTTCTGTGGTAAACTCTTAGTCACGACACAGTGGGAAGGGTTATGTAATTTCCCATGGCTTTGTTCTCCTTGCAGCTTTCTCAAAATTCTTGGTGACACAACACTGGATAACCACTTCCAGGATTTATGACAGAAGGAACTTGTTTGAAGAGCTTTAAAACAATATTTTAAACCCATATTTTCCAATATGCTTTCCAGTCCCCTTCCTTTTGCTCCTGTAAGAAGAAAAACTTGAACAGATCAGTGTCAGTCCAGCTCTTTCCATGAGTTTTTTCTTGATCTTTGGTATTAGCAACAGCCAACTATACAGCAGCACTGAGATATATAGCCTGCCAAAATCTTCTGCTTTTGAGTGGTACCTATTCCCAGCAAATGGGTTAAAAGAAAAGGTGTTCTTCAGGGGAATCCACAGCTGTAATCCATTTCCCCCATTTAACTGTCAGCTTCTCCTATAGCTCCTTCCCATGCATGGAACAGAGGTGAGTCAGAGACTTCTCTTGGGAATAGCACTACTCTATCCTTTACCTGGGGAAAAAACCCACACACAAACCCACACAGGGCACAGTGGGATATTTTCCCCAGGCACAGCATTTTACTCCACTTTTCCTTACAATTCAGTGACTCATTTCTGAGTTAACTGGATGCAGGCACAGCTATTTCTGGCATCCTGACAACAATTTGCAGTTACTTAGTGTAGAGCTGGGTAGGCAAAAGACCCATAGGAAACGCAAGCACTGCTTGCTGCAACAGGATGCCTTATTTCTCAGGGGGAAAGAGAGCAAAAGGGTGAGAGCAGAAGACAACTTTTGAAGAAGAAAATGTCTTTCTTGTTACAAGAGTCTACTAAATTATTTTCTGTACATTACTGAGAAGTCAGTCCTAAAGAGTAGATACATTTACAGCTGTAACAGCTCCACTAAATTCAAGCTTATAAACTTGCTTTAAGGCTAGGCTGCTTTAGAGACAGGGAGACTTTCTCATTATCCCTTACCTAATCTGATTTCCTACATAACATTGCTCTTGAAAGCCCTTGGACTCTACTGCTCTCTTCATGCTCCCAGCCCACACTTAATTATCTTCACTTTCTTAGCATAGCTGCTTTCCATCTGCTTGACTAAAGAGCTCCTCTCTATCAAAAACATTTAGCTCATGTAGGCACCTAAGGCAAAAATCCAGATTTTATATTTGAAACTAAGGCCTCTATCAGGCATTACAGAACTATTTCTGTTCTTTAGACTAGACAATCATGGACTAATAGAAAACTGTCTTAGGAACAAGAAATCTCTCCCTTCCCAGCAGGGTGCACTACATCAAGGATCTATTGTTCTTGCTGTACCTCTGATGGCAATTGAGACTGCATTTTCCCGACTTTGATGGGATAGCGAGCGGTACTTTTGTTGAGCATATCCTACATTCCTGCATGTGTGGGGCTGCCTAGAAAACCCAGACGGGATGTCCAGATTTCTCTAGGTCCGGGCCCTGCATCCTGGATTTCTGCTTTCACTGCTGGGCTCCCAGGTCCAGCCTGGCTGCCAGCTCTGCCTGCTCATCCCTGTGGCCATGCTACTGCCCAACAACTTCTTCTGGTGTGTACTGTCATGATTTATGGCATCATTTACACTTCCTCTTATCTTCACCTATTGCCAAAGGAAGATGCTTAGCTTTTCTCACACGGGTATTTATGATGGATGGCTCTATGGCATGGCTCTGAAGACAACTGACCATGAATGCAGGATTACTTGTTTTCAGACACAGAAAAGTTCTGTCTTATACCAGCAGAGAATTAATGTTCAGATATTAAATTAGGATCATGGTGATGTCAGTCAAGAATAAATCAAATACTAGCAATCAGACAAACACACAATCAGACAACAAAAGTTGCCTTTAAATTACAGAAAATAATTTTCTTCTTTATATAGAAGAAAATTCATGGCATTTAATTGCACGTCTTGGCAGGAGTCAATTCATCTTCACTCACCTTATTATTAAGTCCCACTGACATGACACAAACTACACTTTTCTCTGGAGGACAAACATTGTAATTTATGGAATCACAGACCACAAAAGTTCAGGAAAAAATTCCATTATTTTTCAGTTTAGCACAGTAAGACTTCAAGGTTTGAACTTTTTAATAGCACTACAATTAATACCACTGCACACTGAATTATATTACTTTCAAGAAAAGGGAAAATGAGGAGTACACAGAAGAGGTAGTTCATAAGAGATAAAAGAATTCAACATTCTTTAGGTGGTTCAAACTTAGTAAGTCCAGCTAAATTTTCAGAAAAATTAGAATTACTTTGAAAGAATTGGTGCTTTGAAAGATAAAAATATAAAATAAAAATCCAAAATCAAAATAAAAGATTAACAAGTACAAGTAGCTTTTTCCAACAGTGAGATACATTTGGTTGAATTGGGTGCGGGTAATTAAAACACCTATTACTCAGGTGAGGAAGAAACAGGAACAACAGAGGCCACTGCAACCCTCTCTGAGTTTACTCTGTGCGACATTGGCCAGTGAACACGTTACAAGATGTGCCCCAACACTGCAGCTCCAATCCTCCATCCAACCTTGCTAATGCAGGGCATTTCACCTTAACACAGAAGCCAAGGCTGATCAAATCCAAACCACAAGAGTAACCTTGTTGCAATGTTGGGACAGAGCAGTTCCAAATGTCCCTGATTGCTAAGAATATCCTCAGCTTTTTAATTATCAAAAAAACCAACCAAGCAGGTTTTTTCAAATCTCACTCTTTTATTAGTTCAATAACTGAATCCTAGAAATACACCACTATCCTCTCATCAATTATAACACATACTCATGTGTTGGACTGAAACAACATTGTTTCATAAAAAAGGCAAAACCAGGTTTTGTGTTCAGTACTTAATTTAACAATGACTAGAAATAAAATATGAGGATCAGGTGTCAGCTTGCAGTGAATGAGCTTCCAGCAAAAAACTGATGACTGCCTTGTCCTTTACTGCCTGCTTTTCTTTAGCACCCAGTGTCATCCTCTCCACAATTTTTGCAGGTACTTATTTTAGACTAACAGGCTTGTTAGTCCTCAGCCCTTCCTCACGCCTTTCTTGTAATCTGTTTTGGCTAAAGTGGAATAAAGCCTCTCAGTTTTCATTATTCCTCCTGGCTTTGCATACAGAGATTTCTTAATGCCAGGTGCATTTAAGTGTTGTGACCTTTGTTAGAAATCCTGCAGCTATCTGGTATTCTATTTGATGCACTATCTGTTGAAGTCGGAGGAACCAGTGAGAATCTCAGCTTAAAGACACAAAACAATTAAATACTTCAGGATTGTCTCTGAAGAAAAGACTTGAGTGCAATCTCCATGGCCTTAATAACAAAAAAACAAATTTAAAAAATTAATGTAAGCTATAAAAAGAAGAAAATAACTATAATTCTTTATGCCAATGTTTCATTTATTGAGTAGTAACATTTATGACTGTGCAGACTGTGTATATTAATTTCAAATGAATAATTTTTTCTAGAACTGCAACAAAATTAGGTTCACAAATTGCAAATCCAAATGGAATTTGCTTCCAACAAATATTTAGAGCCTCAAGCTGGTACCTAGACAAATGACTCCACAGGAGTCAATCACATTGAGAAATGTAATTTTCTCCCCCAACATTTCATGCACATATAGGAACAAAAATGAGATTCTCACTGAACAGTACTGAAAAATGTCAAAAATTCCTGTATCAGATTGCATTGCAGGAATAGATAATTATTCAAAAGTTAACCATGGAAATAAGTGACTTTGAGACTAGCTGGGTGTTGAGCATAAACCTTGCTACATGGCAATTAGGTGCAGTGGGTAGAGTGCAAGAAATTAAATTTCAAGTCATAAACCAGGACAGACATCTATTTATAGGGCTATTATCTGAGACATTATCTATTATTTACTTTTATTTAAGGATCTGTACATTTCTCCCTGGCAGCACAGCAGAGAGTATGCTGTGAAAGGCACAGCAAATCATTACACTTTGTTCCCTTGGGTTCTAGCTAAAAGCATTACATTTTCTTACTCATATTTGATGGTTTATGCTGCTCACTGATGTAGTTATTGGAAAGGGGATGCAGCTCACCCATGGTCTGGAGGCTATGAAAAACTGAGAATCCCAGGAATTCAGCCTACACTGGATCAATGTTTTGACTACTAACTTAGACATATTTGCCTACTTAAATGGCCTGTAGGTCGTTAGACTACACCACAGTTAGAGTCCTGGGGCTTCCTAGAACAGTCCTGATTGTATGTTGAAAGGGATATCCTGCACTATGTTCCAGTTATCAAG